ACCGCCATTACACATTAAGGTGTTCGCGCCCTCGCCCATTCCGTCGCACAATAAAGCGGTAAAATGGCTGCTTCGTCTCTCCTCCAAACCCTACAGAGCTTGCAGAAGCCCTACAGAGAGTAACAGTGAGAACAAAAGCAGGACAAAAGAAAAGAGAGGAAAAATCGCAATGTCAGAGGCTGCGAGGATGCTTAACCCTTGGTGTTTCCATTTCCAGAAGCTCGGGCTCGAGCTCAAGTGCCCCGTCTGGTATGTTCTTTTTGGTGTGTGTGTGTGTGTGTAGACGGTGGTTTATTCATCTTGGCTTTATGAAATTACGGTGCCCTAGATCTCACATTATTGTTTTTGTGCCATTTTATAGTTTGAATTTGCTGTACAAGCCCGTTTTGCTTCCTTGCAATCACATCTTCTGCAAGTAAGTTGCATCTTTGTCCTCTTTTTTTACCCTAAAAATGTGAACTTTGTAATGGCATCGCCGTGAATTTTTGTGGGTTTTCCCCAATTTTCATGACCTTGAATTTTACTGAAATGTTTGAATATGGCTTGATTTGTATTTATGTAGTTCTTGTGTCCCTGCAATATCCCAATTTACCAACCAGTGTCCTGCATGTCAGCAGCAATTTACCAATCAAGGTACGAATTGTCGACCATTTTACTGAAATGTTCGTTGCCCCCACCGAACATTTTCCCTGTTCATAGGATTAACTGCTTCTTGCTTAGTTCTTTGATTGTCAAGTAAAAATGTCGTTCATTTGAAAGATTTTGCTGCTGTGTTACAGATATCCGGCCCGCTTCTCATTTGGAGAATATTGTTTCCATTTACAAAAATCTGGACTCAACATTCAACTCTTCTGTGTTGCCACTTTTATCTAATGGTATACCTTGAAATCTTTTTTGTGCTCCTTTTATAATGAGAGTATTGAGATACGATTGTGCTAATAGACTCAATTAACAGCATCCAAAGAGGAGGGTAATCATACTGGTGCTCTGATAATTAACCGGATTTCAGGCGGACTTGAGTTAACTAAATGTTCTGTGTCAGAAGAGACTGATCTGAATCATGCTCCAGATATGTCTCCTTCCTCCTGTGAGGATGTCAAACAGGCAGGTCACAAAAATGAAGCAGGAAGCACAACTGGGGTAAGATTCGAGTCATATAGTTAACTAAAGTAGCTTGTGTGTATAGCTGGTTATGCGTAATCCTGATCTGGTCAGTTTAGGCAGTCAAAAAATTAATCATCTGCTGTCAGGATTTTATTTTTCTCATGTGAAGACACTTGCTAACTAATATTTTTCTACAGAAAATGCTTTAACATACCTGTGAAAATATATGGAATTAATTTGGTTATAATGACATCCTCAGCATCCATTCTATTTTCTCACCCTGTGAACTTGTCCAATGGTAACGTGGTTCATTATTCATTCTGTTTTTAAATGGGTAAACGCTAGTTTGGAGTGAGAAAAAAATTGACAGATCCTTAAAATTTTTCATTTGTTTTTGAGTAATGCTATATTAAAAAAAATAGTGTGAAGTTCTTGTCTTGCTTAATTTGGTTCAAGATGCCCAACATTTTTAAAATTGGTTGTCTAATTGTCCATGAACTATTGGCGTAGCCACATAAAATTTAATTTGCTTGCGTGTGTACAACTTGTACTCCTCAGCTGGTTGCTCATTCTTAAAATATCGAGCTGTCAGTTAGCAACATTTCTAATATCTATGAATTTATATGTTTCGTATACATCTTTTTTTTTTTCCTGATATTTTGTAGCTCAACTCTGTAGGGAACACCAATCCATCCAGTCAAGAAACCAGCTAGTGAAATGGGTGATAAAGATGCATCTCATACTAGGGAACTTAAGAGACAAAAGAAACTGGACTATGAATTAGCTGATGCAGCTTTGCATAAACACGGGCAAAGCCAGCAAATAACTTCCCATACCGATCAAGCTTCAGTTTCCAACTATAATGAGGAATGCAAATCTAAGGAAGTAACCTGTGATGTTTCAGATTTGAATGGAAGTGTTTGTGCATTTTGCCATTCCTCTACAATCACAGAAGTAATTTTCTTATGTAGATGGTTCTACTCATTCTCCTCATATAAGTTTGCAGGGTTTAATTTTTGTTCGATATGTTAACTGGTGTCTTTTTAGGCAACTGGCCCGATGCTGTACTATGCAGATGGAAAGGAGGTAGCAAGAGAAGCTGCTTTTCCAAATGCTATCCCGGTTCATAATAAATGCATATTATGGTAAGAAGATATTATGAGGCATCCTTATTAGCGTGATATTTCTATGGTGCAGCTGTCCTTTACCTCTATCAAGGAGGCATAATATTCTAGCTTGTAGGTGATGCTAAAAAGAAATTCTAATATTTGGTTCCCATTTCTGGATATCTTATGTCACAATCATTTGCGGTATATCTAATAAGCTCTAGAAAGGCCTAACTCTTTATGAAATTACTTAATCTCACTTTGGTTATGGCTGTTTGGTATTATTTCCTCAATGTATACATGCCAATGATTTGTAATTCTGATAATTCTTTCAAATGCATCGACAGTTCCACAATATCTGCAGATTCCAGTGCAAATGATTCTTTAAAATGAAATCAAGTGTCCAGGGGCTAACACACTCAATCTTGTCCTTTTGGTTGCAGGACTCCTAAAGTGTATTATGAAGGGGAAAAAATTAAGAACTTAGAGTCTGAGCTGTTGAGAGCTTCTAAGCTCAAGTGCAGTAGCTGTGGCTCAAAAGGAGCTGCACTTGGCTGCTATGCTAAGTCTTGCAGGAAAACTTATCACGTTCCGTGTGCTGTGGAAGTACCAAACTGTAAATGGGATTGTGTAAGTTTGCTATGTAATTACTTCTAACTTTGTTTGTTTGTTTGTTTGTTTGTTTTTCTTTTTTTTATTATTTTTATTTTTCAAGCTGGTGCATTCTCTTAGTCCATTATTAATTTAAATTATATATTTGATTTGCAGGATGACTACTTAATGTTGTGTCCTCTTCACAAATCGGTAAAATTTCCAAATGAAAAGTCATCCAAGTCTAGAAAGCATCATAGTGAACAGAAGCCCTCCTTGCCTATGCAAATGTACGCTTTATGATTACAATGTTGTACTTTTTCATCATTTGATTCAAATTTTAGCTGCTCAGTTAGACTGGGAGCTTACTTTTGCATACTTGTTTAAGTCTCTTGGTTTCAAATCTTAGCTTCTCATGATCTAGATTTATACCTAAGATTTGAAAGAATTTGTTTACTTCTCATGGGAGACAAGATGTCCTCCCCAAAACATATATGCAATTTTTGGTGCCTTAAACACCACTTGAAACTATTTTGTTGACATTTTCTTTGAACATTACTCAAGAATATTACTCTCTAAATGTTCTTTGCCATGATGTTCATAAATATACATAATTGAAAACATGGAATAAGCTAACCTGAAACAAATTTCTGACAACAAATAAAGTATTTACTATAGGTATAGGGTGTTTAGATTGTTCCTATTAATGGCAATTAATACTTGTATTGATATGCTGGTAGGGATTGGATATATAAGCTAAGCTCAAAAATTGTAATCTTGTTTAATGCCTTGAATCCAGTGCTTCTGAACAGTCGAACTTTTGGTCAAACCACCCAACTGGGCCTCAAGAGTGGGTCTTGTGTGGATCTTCTTTGTCATCAGATGATAAGGTTGGTTTCTATTCACATTTTTTATTAAAAAATCTGTTGCTTTTTTGTTTGTTCCTTCTGAATATATGCACTGAAATTGTAGAGATAAATGGTAATGTTTATTTGTAACGGTTACTAATTGATTAATTAGGGGTTTTATTCAGTATCAATTAAAATGATTGTATAACTTATACTAGTGTTTTCTATAGGCAAGTTTGTAGGAGTTGATTAATTCTTATGTATTCTATTTATACCTATGTACTAAACATAATAAATAAAATGACAAGTCAATTTTATCTTGTTCCAAATATCATGGTACCAGAGTTGTACACGGTTCTCTAAAGTACCATACCAATTCTATTTGTTATTTTCTTTGGGAATAAGATAAAATTGACTCGGTCATTTTTTTTTATTGTGTTTAGTACATACCAGTTACATAATAGGATACATAAGAATCAATCAACTCCTAAAAACTAGCCTATATAACACAATCACATGAAATTGATACTACTCCTTCCTTGCGTAAGACCTCTAATTAATCAATTAGTAATTGTTACAAATAAACATAAACATATATATGTATAGAAATATTATGCTTTTTTATCAGGAACTAATTTCATATTTTGATCTCTGGATTGTGGCCCAGTGTTTGTTGGTTGAGTTTGCTTCAATATGTGGTGCTACTGTGTTCAAGTTTTGGAACCCAAATGTTACCCATGTGATTGCAGCCACAGATGAAAATGGCGCATGCAGTAGAACTTTGAAAGTTCTCATGGGGATTTTGAATGGGAGATGGATCCTTACTATTGATTGTAAGCTCGGCATCTAGTTCAATAATATTAACTAGATATGTACTTTAGTTATGAGTTTTGTGAAATAGTTTATGGTGTGGAGCAAAGTAGAGCATGATACAGAGAATCAGTTAACTAAAAATTGATTTATCTTTGTTTGAAATGTATAAACGATTTCCATTGTATTTTACCTATCAGGGATAAAAGCTTGCATGGAAGCAAATGCATATGTGGGTGAAGAGCCATATGAAGTTAGTCTAGACAACCATGGTTGTCGTGGTGGGCCCAAAAGTGGCAGATTGAGGGCGTTGAATAATGTAAGAGTACTAACTTTATCAAGAAGTACTCGTTGTTGGTTTTTTTTTTTCCTTCCCTATTTGCTTATATTGCTGTGCTAATCATATTATATTTATAAATATATCGTGTTGAAAAACAATTTAACTTTTTTTTGTCATGAAATTTGTAACTTGTGAGTTCTAGGCAAATGACCCTAGTTTATAAGTCTATTAGATTACTCATCATATCACTAATTGGTTTTGAGATGGTTCCTCATTGTGGTTGGAACTAGGTTCTAATGGTGCGCTTCACTCGTGGGACCGCACCTTTTTCTACCGAGTCTATAACTCTAATTAGGTATCAAAGTGGTCATGATTTGGGACCTATGATGATTTGATTTACCACGTTTGGTCTAGGCTTGGGGTGTATGAAGGACACACGAGTAAGGGGATAAGTAATGAGACGTATTTTGAGTCCCACATTGATTTTATAGGGCAAATGAGCCTAGTTTATAAGCTTAGTAAGTTATTCCTCCCATCAATTAATCAATTGTTTTTGGAATAGAACCTTACTTAAATGGGAACTAGGCAGTAGGCACCACCTTCTAATGGTGCGTTTCACCTGCTTCCCTTCTCTCGGAGTCTGTAACTCTACTAGACAGATATACTTTGCCGTTCACTTGATAGTTGGCAAAATCTGAATTTAGATTTATACTTTACCATATTTTTCCACTTAACTACATCAAGAACTAGATTTATGTATTCTTAACTTTGGTAAAATCTGAATTTATTTGTCAGATTTGATGCAAAGAAAAAATGTGAGGGTTTGACCATTTTTTTTCCCTATTTCTCTTTTTGTGGCACAGGCTCCAAAGCTTTTCGATAAGTTCAACTTCTATTTTTGTGGGGAGTTTGTCCCATCTTACAAGAGCGACCTCTTGGAGTTGGTCCGAGTTGGTGGAGGTACAATTATTACGAGCTTGGAGGGTATGGTTGAACAAAACAAGCATGATCAACAAGCGGCTGCTACAACTTTTGTTGTCTACAATAATGATTACCCTCAAGGCTTCATCTCAAAAGATGGTGATATTGATGCTCGGGTCATTCCACACATATGGATCTTGGAGTCAATAGCTGCATGTCGGGTTTTGTCAGTTCCTTTATGTTGATTTTGTCTTCCTTTTTTTTTTTTATTGATAGATTGGTTATGGTGATCTGATACGATATCTTTGTTAAGTTCTAAGCAATTGCAAGGAAGCTATTTTATTAGGCTCTTCATAAGCATTTGTCCGAAAGACTACAATTATATGTGCCATTTGTTAGAGAGGCAGTGTATGTTGTGTCTCTAAGTAAAAGTTCTCTCAAGTTGAATGTTAGAAATTATAAATGTAGCATAAAATCTTATAACTAACAGGTGGCCAAAACATGAGCGCTAGTCAACGCCATTCGTTTCTTGGTTCAAAGGGATTGAAGTATTAGGATCCAACACGTGCACAAAGAAGCCAACTTTGTGGCTGACCATATAGTGAGCTTGGTGGCCTATTCTTCGATAGGACTTCAGTTCATGTCTTATCCTCCATCCGAAATGGGAGTTTGACTTGAACATGATGTTATCAGAATTTCAATAACTCATTAGAATCTACCCAACAAATTCATGTTACTTTTAGTTCATTATGAATCACAATTTATTTTCCAAAATGTGCTCATCGAAATTAATGTAAAAAAGAGGTAAAACAATAATAAGTAACTTTTAAAAAAATTTCATCTAATTTTACTTATAACTAAATAGTAAAATTTACTTCTCAAAATTTACTTATTAGTTATTGATTATTCACAAAATTTAATTAGAAGTCATATTTTTTTTTATAGACAAATTAATTAAAATAAGTACATTTTTGAAATTAAATGAAATGATACAATTCTCAATTTTGGAATAAATATATGTTGATAGAATGATTAAAGGAATTGGATAATTAATGCTCAACTTCTAATTATATAGAAAAAAATATACTTTAAAATGAATTATCATTGAAATATTAATTAGGAAATAGCCCCACAGCTTTGAATCGAGGATGTAAACTTACCAAAAATAAAAAAAAAATGAGAGAAATGGGTCTCGCTATGGAATTATTTCGTCGGGGTTTGTAAGCGTTAGATGAACCATTCCCGACAATTACATGATGATCTAACGATTATAAACTTCGACGAAATCGGAATGATTTCGTCCTAAAAAAATGAAATCAATAATCCAACCTGTGAAGTGATTGTCCAATATCCATCATCATGTCAAACTATAACGGTCACATGCTTTTTTAAAAAATAAATGCCAGAAAAAAAAAGAGCCCTAAACCCCACCACCAAAAAGTCCAAAACTCGACCGTTTTACAGACTTCCTTTTCTGGCACTCTCTCTTTCTCTCCAGCTCCCAACTCTCTCTCTCTCTCTCTCTCTCTCTCTCTCTCTCTCTGTGTACGCAGAAAGAGATGCAGGCGCTCGCGCGTGGACTCTAATTCATCACAACCAGTACCAAACAATCCTCTGAACCCTAATAATGGGTTGTTTTCTTGGATGTTTTGGGGGAGAGAAGGATCGGAGGCGCCGGAGACGGAGGCTTAGTCGTGGCAGTCCCCAGAGACAAGTAAAGATCCCTTTCCTTAGCTTCGATTCGATTTATGGCTGCGAGCTTTTTTTTTTTTTGTTAGTTTATTTGCTTCTCTCTCTGTGTAAATGTGTGCCTTTGATTGTGAGGCTAATTCGTTAGCGATGGACATTTCGATCGTTTTAGGGTTTATGTCGATTGTGTGTGCATTAGGGAGTTTGATTGATTCTCTTTTTATGCTCCCCGATGCTGAAAAACTCGATTTTTATTTGTTCGTGCCGTCTTTGTGTGTGTGTTCTAGCTGAGGATTTACGCAGAGAAAATCAACTCTTAAATTTTCTTTCTTTGTTCTGTCAATTTTGTTCTCAATTTACTTCTCAAGCTACTTTGCATTATGTGATTTTTTTCACAGTTAGTTGTTTTTGATATTTGACAGTGATGATAAAGCCTTTTATCTTTTCAATGCTATGTGTTTTCGTTTATGTCTGTACATTTTACTGTGTGCTCAACTCAACTATATGATTAAATTATTGACACAGAGAAACCGAGTTGAGAATGTTCACCGGCACAAAACAGTCGTATCAGAACAACAAATCAAAGAGAATGTTACCATATCAGAACAACCAATCAAAGAGACTGTCACGGTATCAGAACAACTGGCCAACGAGTTGCAGTAAGCCGTCAATATTTTGGTTTGAATTTTCTCTACATATTTTTAGATGTCACCAACATATTTTGTATTATTTACTGAGAATACCCATTTCCTAGCTTCTATAGCTTGGTTCTAACAGAACCCCGCTTTTCAATGTTCCTATGTAGAACGAAAACCGAGGCAGTGGAGCAAAGAAGTCCGAGCTCGAGCCCAAGCCCAAAGAAAAAAGTTACGTTTAACTCGAATATCACGACATACGAGCATGTCCAGGTCCATGACAGCATCGAGTCTCTGCCCGAGTGCCCTGAAAATATCGAGAAGGAGAAAGAAGTACGCGAATGCTCGAAAACATCAAGCCAATCAAATTCTTCGGTATCATCAGAAGCTAATTCCGAAATATCCAGCTTGTTCTCATACCCTCCAAGTCACAGGTATCACAATGCGAGGGACAGTGATGATGGTGAAGATGAGGAGTATGGTGATAGTGATTTGGACGATGATGATGATGACTTGGACGGAGAATATGACGAAGATGATGGTTATGATGAGGATATTTATGCCAAAATGCCTGTCCATGACATTTGGTCTGAACCCGTTTTAACCGAATCAGTTGAGTCGAGGAGAGGAAAAAACCCATTTTCACTAGCCGTTGATGAAGAAGTAGAGAGTAGTCCTATTGTAGTACCTCCTGGATCAAAAGGCAACGCCCGTGATAGAAGTGATTATATTAATTCGGTGCTCAACCCTGTGGAGAATACTGCTCAGTGGAAAGTTGTGAAGTCATCAAAAGGGACTACTAATCTGTTGAGGCCTCTTCCTCCCCAGAAGGAGAATTTGACTGCTGATGCGGATAATTTTGAGCCGCCTCGTGTGTCTTTAAGCTCGGAACCAACTTTCAAGAACAAAACCGAGCAATCGAGGAAAAACGGGAATCGAGAAGTAGTGGCTGTGGATGCGAGTCTCTCGAACTGGCTGTCTTCGCCCGAAGTCACCCCGCCTAAGAAGAAGACCGGTGATTTTGGTGGTTTTTTCGAGACGAACATTTCTGGAAAGAGTCTGTCTGAAGGGCATAATTCTGTTAGGAGCTTTGAGGATCGGCCGATTTTAGGTGCACTGACGGTTGAGGAGTTGAGACAGATTTCGGCAACAAACTCCCCGCGAAAGTCTCCTAGTCGAAGTCCGGATGAGATGCCCATTATAGGCTCTGTCGGGACATACTGGAACGACTCGAGTTCGAAAAAGCATTCTGATTCATCATCCTCTTTTAAGGGGGGGATACCAAACACAACCAACAAGTACAGGGAGGTAATTCTGATTGTAAGCTCTGTAGGGACATACTGGAACGGCTCGAGTTCGAAAAAGCATTCTGGGTTTATTTATTTATTTTTACTTATTGTTATCATAATAATGCAGGATAAGAGAGTTAATTGGTACTCTACACCTTTTGAGGCAAGACTGGATAGTGCTCTTCTGAGTCAAGGTGCATCATAGTGGAGAAGATTGTTGCTGTTTGTGAATTTCTGCTGGGAGTTTTATGCATATTTGACTATATATCTGTTCTGTACCATTTGACATTGTGTGTAATGATTGGCGTGTGAAATGGGTGTGTTCATTGTATTGGTTTGTTTATCAAGACATGTATATTATTGCTTATCAATGGGTGTGTTTGATTTATTGTAATGTGTAGTAAGCAAGTGTCACCATTGTTCTCCTCAACACTATTGTTCTTTTACTGTTGAATCACACGCAGTCACAAACACTCACCGATACGAGTGTGTATTGATCCAATAGTTCAAAACTCGGTGTGAACTGCCCACAAGGGTCGGTACGAGTTTTCTTAGTTTTTTGTTCAATCTGCCCAAGAAGTATTCACAGAATGTAACATAAAATGGATTCACTGCATCTGCATGTGTTGGATGTTTCATTCTGCAAGTTCACCTGATCGGAAAACTGAACTGAAAATATCCGATTTATATATTTCAAGCAAACGGACATCCCCTTCTCAGTACAAACACACCACCACTTTATATAAGCCTTTTCCCCCTATTGATACTCAAAGTATATATTGCTTTAAAAATAATAAGAAAAAAAAGAAGGAAAAAGTTGGCCACAAGAGCCTCATGTCAAATGCAAAACACAACAATACCACATCACTTTCTTCACACCAACAAAACTGCAAAAACCCCCCAAAGGAACTCAACTCACTCTGCATCAACACTCCACCCCACACTGCTTGAGAATCGGCCCTGTCTGCTTCGGCAGGAAAGGATCGATCCTCACCCAGACGAGCGAGAATATCGACGCCAGCAAGATCGACCACAGGACCACGATCGTGGGAGTTCGGTTCTGCCTCCCCATCAACCCCTTGAGAAACGGGTACAAATGCACAATCACCCAAAACGCAAAGAACAACTTCCCGAAAAGCGGGCCCCACGACCCATACCCGTTGTTGATGGCATCCGAGACACCCGCCACAACACCAACCATGTTCAAGATTATGAGGGTTGTCGGGGGAATCAATAGTGTGGTCCACTTGAAGAGGTACAGCTCGCCAAACTCAGCATCGTCAGCAGCTTTTGAGGTTACGGTGAAGTTAGTGTCGACACCGGCCAACACTTTGAGGAGGCCCTGAAAGACGGCGAATAAGTGGGCCGAGACACCACCGATGACCCAAAACTGCTCGTTTCGCCACCAGTCCTCGATGCTGACACCCGACCAACGGAGCTCGAGAATGCCTGTGGCGATGATGGAGAGGAAGAGGGCAATGAACCATATGCTCGCCAGGTTGTTCAGCTGCGCGCGTGTGAGGGATTCGAGTTAGAAGGTCTCGAGCCATGAAGAAGTCAAACTTATGTACGCACAACACTTTTTTTTTTTTGGAAATCTGCAGCCAAGCGGAGCTGGGATGTTCTACCTGACTCCGGCTAATGGGGGTTTTGTAAGTGAGAAAAGCTAATGTTTCGGGTTGTTAGTTCATTGAAGCAATGTAGTGTGGTTTAATCATAATTCATAAATGAGTCAGTTTGTATTTTTGAAATAGCAAATAACGTACCCCTAATATATACAGAGGAGGAATTTTATCAAAATTGACTTGAGATTATTACCAATGTGATACCCTTACTTCAAATTTACGAATTGCCAACTATGGCCTCTGATTCAGTTAGCAAAGATTGATTTTTCTATACTTTTTTCTCCAATAGGTTTAACCGTAAAGCATCATTTGATAGCACTCAATTTTTCCCCCTGAAATTAATCCTTTTAATAAAATTCTGGAGCCAAAAAGATACTTACAGTGGGGACAATAAATTTCCCAGTGAGAAGACACACTGCCGGAAGTGTGCAGTAGGCAAGTAGAGCAATGGAAGTGAATGGGTACACGATGGTGTTAATATACGCGAACCTCTCCAGCCATTTTAGTTTCCCTCCAAAACCATACCAAAGTGGACAATGGCGGCTCATAAAGATCTCGACCGAACCAAGTGCCCATCTCAGAACTTGGTGCAACCTGTCGGATAAATTGATGGGAGCTGACCCTTTGAAAGCAGGTCTCTTGGGAGAACAGTACACAGATCTCCATCCTCTGCAGTGCATCTTGAAGCCAGTCAAAATGTCTTCTGTGACTGAACCGTAAATCCATCCAATCTGTGTGGATTTACACAAAATTTAAGAGAGGTCAGCTACTCATCAAGTTGTTATAGCAAAAGTTAGGAATAATTAGAGAAACTACCCGTAAAGGTTAATTTTACTGTAGTCAGTAATTGGTTTGTTTCTACTAACCTCCTTTCCCCACTCAGTTTTTTCTTCATAGCCACAGCTAATAACATGAATAGCTTCTTTGATCAGTGATGTCGGGTTTGTCCCCTCAGGAAGACCACCATCTTCTTTGAGAGTCGATGCAATGAAAACAGGTGACATACCGAACCGTTTCTCGAAATTCTTTTGAGACATGAGTGAGGACTTTTCCAACTCATCATAACCCTCCAAACCTTCTTCAATTTCCTCAAGATCAAAAGCCGGTGTGAATGATTTACGAGTGTACTGCTTGCCCATCATTTTCTTCTTTTTCTTGCTGTACAATTTTCCCAGCCCAAGTAAGGACTTGAGTCCTTTCTTCTTGTCCTTTGACTTCCTCGATCCTCCACAACAGCAGCAACACCACTTGGGCCAGCAGTCGCAAGTCATCTTGGGCCGCTTCTCGGATGCCGGTGGGTCATAGCCGTACAATGCCTGCCTGTTGAAGACACAACCAGTGCCGACATATACGGGCCCTTGGATGCCATCTAGGCCTTTCATGTTGATCTGTTGAAGTAAAAAAAAAAATCAGTCATGAGCTATTTTGGAGATTGTAATAAAATTCAAGTTCAAGCCAATATTGACTCTATCCATCTAGTTAAGAAGTGGTCACGATATGCTATTCTTAGGTTGACAAGAAAAAAAAAAATAAAAAAATAAAATCACTTACATCAAAGAAAACGACATTGCGATTAGCATATCTATCATGCCGATCAATACCGTCAAATCTCTGAGGGAATTGGACATAGCAGAGCTTCTTGCCTACTTGGGGATCCATCAAAAAACACATGGCTTCCCTCACAGCTTTGCTGTTATTGAGGTAATGATCACAATCCAGATTCAGAATGTAAGGCGCATTTGTAAGCACTGCAGAAACTCGGACCTGTTTGATTTTGCATGAATGGCAGGTCCCATGTCATTAAGAGATTATATTAATCATGTAACTCATCAAAAAGTAAAAGAAGAAAGGTTTTAGTTTTGCGGCTAACGTACGAGTGCATTCTCTGCACCAGCTTTCTTATGGTGCTGATATCCTGGCCGCTTTTCACGTGAGACATACACTAGCCGTGGGAGCTCCTTACCTTCAATATCAAGTGCCCCCTCACTTCCCAGATATACCTGCAACACAAGAAACTTGTTTAGTTATTCTACAAGAAAAGCCAGTTAGCTTTCATAAACAGAAAAAAATAATGGTATTAAAAGATGCCCCCAATTGAGTTCGTTTTACAAATTAAATCCTCCAAAGCAGAGACACATCTCACGCCGTGAAGGGAAGATTTGCAACTATTTGTAATCAAGAGAAGAACAAAATTTCAGATCAAACCATAAGGATATACAAGTTTGTAAATGTCCCTAATTTTATGAAGAACTCCATTATCCAATATTATTTTATTTTAACCTGAATCATGCCAGGGTGATCACGGGTATCGTTCCCAGGCCACGGACTCCCGTCTTGCATCACCCATCCTTCTTCCGGCTTCTTTTGAGCCTTAGCCACCAATGCGTTAATCCTCACCTTGAACTCTTCATATTCTCTCTGCAATGAAAAAAATAAAATATATATTCACTAATCACGACCCAAATCACAACCATAAAATTCACCAAAAGCCAGCAAAACACAAAACAATCTCCAACCCCCCAACCTTCATGGCTCTTCTGTCCTTCACGAACGTAGTCTGCACTTTATCCTTCAAGTAATCAATCTTCTCCGAAAAGTAAAACTCGGGCGCCCTTGGCTCCACGCTGTATTTCTTACAAAACGGGACCCACTGCCTAGCGAACTCTGCTGTCTCGGACAGTGTATCAAACAGGAGCATGGAAGCCCCATCGTCCGACACATAGCAGCTCACCTTATTCACCGGGTAATCAACGGCCAGGATCGAGAGAACCGTGTTGGCCGTGATGATGGGTGGTTCCTTGAGTGGATCGACTGTGCTCACAAAGAAGTCGACAGGGCTAAGCCGGTCGGGCGCTCCCTCACGCTCGAACCTCAGGGAGAGGCGGTCGAGGTAGGTCTCACGGTTGATGGGGCACCATTTGGGGAACTGATCGAGGATCCATGAGAGCCCGAACCAGATCTCGCATATGACAGATATGATCCAGAGGGGGTAAGCATCGCGGGCCGGGTTCAAGAGACGGAAATGGAAGAAGAAGCAGAGGATGACGAAACGGATGACGATGACTATGCGGTAGGGGCTGATGAGACGAGATGGGATGGGGACCTTCCGCCACAGGGGCTGCCGGGCTTCAGCAGTGCTGGGGAAATTGAAATAATGGGTAATTGTCAGCACTGGGAATGCGAATTTTGAGTGATAATTAGAAAAAAAAACTTGGCTACAACTTTACTGTTTTAGACTTTTAGTCATGCAACTGTAAAAGGATGGCAATTATTTTTTGGGGGGGAAAAAAAGAACTGGTAATTTAGTTATTTGGCTACTGGTGAGGTGAATATTCACTAATATAAATCGGAAAGTCCACACGGCTACAATGAGTCCATTAACATTTGAAAGAACGAAAATCACGATATCAGTCATTTGTTTTCCAAAGAAGAGGAATGGAGAATTCATGTACACTCATTTCTGGCCAAACTAGAGTAACTTTGATTGTGTATAAACATACTCAAAGTGAAAAACTTTCGTCCAACCAACACACAACTCTGAAGAATGTCGACACAAAGAGCACAGATATCAGTTCCTGCTAATGCGAACAGATTTCCAGCAACAAAAGCGCGAATTGTATAGATAATTATAGCAAAAACTGCACCCCGCAGCATGAATTTTAAAAAAAAAAAACACACTTTTTTCACTGACTTTATTTTCTTTGCAAAACGATACACGACCTTATCATTTTTCGCAAAATGTAGGTTTTCAAAGTTTGCAATTCTGCCTGTTCTTTGGCAAACCTGTATTTCCAATACAAAAACCATTTACTCCACGCTTGATTGTGCATATTAACCAAAAAAAATGCAAATCGCGGGTACTATCAGCATTATCACTATACGGGAATGATTAAATTGCAAGCTAACCTAAAATAGTTAAGAAAACAGATCAACCCAGTTTCAAATAAAATTCATCCATTAAAGAAGAAGGAGAGAAGTTTCTAGAAAAAATATATCAAACGACGCAATGCACCTTGGGTCGCTACGAAACAGCCTCGTTGTATAATTACAAGAGCAAGGTCTGCGTACAACTGACTCCCAGACCCCAACCAGTTACCGGGTATGTTGTTGTTGTTGTAAAGAAGGAGAGAAGAAAATCTTACAGAAGAAAGTCGTCGTCGTCGTCGTCTTCTTGATCATGTCCTCCATCGCCTGATTTGGTGACGAGACCTCTCTTTTCCTGCCTCGTTTTCCACGCCTCCATTCGTTCCTTCCAATCTTCATTGTTGAGCTCTTCCTTTTCACCTTCAAATTCCTTACCTGCAACTGCGTGGATTTACAGTACAATGATGAGAAAAAAATGTGGGATGGATATTGGTTGAGGCGATTAGGGTATTTGATGAAGAAATTGATCAGACTTACCACTTCCTGCCACAGAAGGATTGGTGTCGCCATTGTTGTGAATTTTGTGCTCTGTGAATTTTGCTTCCTGAAATTTCAAATAGGTCGTTTATTATATTTTCTACTGTATCGTTACGAAATTATTACGTCGGGAGTTTGTAACAGTTAGATCAACTATCCACAATGGTTATATGATGATAACGAACTATTACGTCCGAGTTTGTAACAGTTAGATCAACTATCCACGATGGTTACACGATTATCCAACACGGTTACAAATCCCTCCATAACGGTAATATTTTCCCTTTACTTTTAATTAATAAAAGGAGGAAGAGAAGGTGAGCCCGACATATGGGCTTTATTTTATTAAAACAATACTAGCCCAAAAGCCCAAAAATCAGGTCATGCTAATAAGAGAATTCGTGAGAAAAATTACGAAAATATAATCGTCGATCACAAATTATTTTTTATTTGTACATTTATGAGATTTTTTTTAAAATTATAAATATATTTAAATTTTATTGTTTTAAAAATAATATATTTATGGTTTGTTTTGTAATAAATTGCATTGTTTTTAATTTAGGCCTTATTTTTTTAATAATTTATTTACGATTTTATTTTGATGATCATATATTTGTAAAACCTTACAAAAAAAGTGAAATGAACATATGATATAACACTTGTTGTGTCTCTTATGAATTGAAATTATGTGCAAGTTTCTCTCTCCTTTTCTTTTCTTTTGAATAGTTACAAGAACTAATAAATGTTTATTTCAAAAGGACTGCAAAAATTATGAAGCAACAAAATAGTGATTTACAATACAAGAGCTAAATGTTTCATTAGAATAATGAATAATGATAGAGATCATTAATCGTATTACCGAATAAGATTGACGATTCTTGAGCTGAAATTGATCTTCGAAATCATCATCATTATCGTGTTCATCATCCTCTCTAGCCCTTGGACGACCTTGAAACAAAATCGCACACGTATGCATGAGCCTCTCACTAGCATCACAACTAATACACGGTCGATAGAAAGATCTTCGGTCAATTTTGCATTTTGTTCACAATTGTTGTTCAATCTTAATATCGTGTGTACACGATAATGTGATTTTTACATACGTAACGTTCACTTGGTGTGCCGAAGCACGAGAAAAACCGAGTACTTAGGAAAATATGAGACTAATTAAATTTTCCAAACTGAGCATATGTCTATTTATAGAACATATGCTGAACCTTCAGTGTGTGTCTGTGTATGATTTGATGGTTAAATAAAATAAAAAAAAAAAAAAAACAAATGAATACTTGTATCAAATAGAACATATAATGTGTCATATCACATATGACTCATATATATATATGGACCTTTGTTTTGGCTCTTGTAAGGAGCATGGCATTGAGGGCAATTGGGGTGGCCCTCACTCCTCTCATAGTCATAACAAGGCCGACAAACGGGAAAACCGCACTCGTGACAAGCCACGAAAGCCTCCCCATTCTCATTCAAACCGATCTCGTCCCCACAAATCCGGCATATCTTGGCCATTGATTTCGCCCCCGGCTGCCATAAAAACAGTACAAGCACAATCAACAAGCTCTTAGCCATGCATACATATGGGTTAGCTAGCATGCATGCATGCCAAAAACGAATCGACATTAGAAGTTACCTCATCGTGCGAGCCGTAGTAAAGGCCAGCCATATGGTGGCAAGAAAAAATGGAGGGGGAGGAGAGATAAAGATGATCTAGAGAGAGAAACAAATGTACAAGAGGTTTGGGCTAAGAAATTGGTTTTTGGCAAAGGTTTGAGGGTATTTTAATAATAATCAGTGTGTGTTGTGTGTGTGTGTGTGTGTGTGTGTGTGTGTTTGTTGAGATGAGAAGGGCAGTGTACCAGCTCATGGTTAAAGGGTCAAAAACTTAATATATTTGAAGGTTTGATTGGAAGAGAAGTCAGATTGGTGAGAAGCTGCTATTGGGACAGAGTTTCTGTGGTTGCTTCTTCTTTTTCCCATTATTGCAGTGTGAAAATGGTCATTTACAAGAATTTCAAGAAATATATGAAATGGTTGGTTGAAATAACTGAATAACAAATATATATATATATATATATATATATATATATAATTGGGAGATGCTACGGTCCCGTTACAGAACCATTCTGTCGGGATTTGTAACCGTTAGATCAACTATTCCCGACGGTTACATGATAATCTAACGGTTACAAAACGGGAACATAGCATTTTCCTATATAATTAACATGTCTCCATTTCTTTTGTAGCTTCAAATCAAAGGTATGTAGAAGCTAACAGTACCAAACTACCTTTTTATATATATATATAAATAAATAATATTTTCAATAGAAAACATTTCGAGATAACAATTAAGTCATATAGCTTTTTTTTAAAAAAAATTATACATATTTTTTTCATTAAAATTATATATGAAACAACATAAATATACACTACAAAAAAACATCTTACATTCCAACGGAAAATTTCCGTTGGAATTCTTTATATATCCGTTGGAATAGGTATTCCAACGGATATTCCTACGTATAAAAATTCGTTGGAAAAAGGGCCGTTGGAATAACTAAAATCCAACAGAAAATCCTATGGAAATAAATTCTTACAGCTATTCCAACGGAATAAATCCGTTGGAATTCTTCAACCATCCAACACTTTTTCCAACATAAAATTAAGTTTGTTGGAATATTCATTGGAATTTCCAACGGAAATTTTTGCCGTTGGAATTGAAGTGTTTTCTTGTAGTGATAAATATCACGTTTAATAATATAATATATGTATGTATTTATGTAGTATGGCGGGTCGACCCACCTAATGAATATTTTTTTTTCTTTTTCTTTTTCTCTCTCCATTTCTCCCATTTTACCAGAAAATTTGTTCTTTCTTGTGTTGCAGACAGATTCAGTGGAAAAATCGAAGTTGGATCGACAAAAACACAGGTCTGGCTTTCGTTTTCCCAAATGAACTTCCGCAAAATCTCCCATGTCCCTAATTCAAAAACTACATGCCGAAAAAGTTCAAGTTATACGAGACTACAAAGGCACTTGTTTGCTTAAATAACTAAACTAAGTCCGGAGGAAAAACAAAAGCTCATGCCCTATAATATGCCAAAGTGAGAAATAGATTAGAAAAACTTCAGCCTTCACAGGAGATCCTAATCGATGAAGGGCCATTCAGCCTACTCATCCACCCTTGCGCGATTTGTTGGTGGCACTTCGAATGTGCCACCAACACCTGCATGGGGATTTTCAAGCTCGTCTGCTTTTTCATTTTTATCTGCATTTTGTAATAAGCTATCT